AGCATGGCCCCTGCGCAAGTAAGGATGACACGCATAAATCGAGAAATGGTCTGTATAAAAAAAAAAAAAAAAAAAGGGAAGCTCTACCCCGCGGTTTGGCAATAAAAATACTTGTCCTTTAAAAAAAAAGAAAAAAAAAGAAAAGAAAAGAAAAGAAAAGAAAAGGAAAGCGCTCTACCCCACACTCTCCATCCCCTCGTTAAACCACCACCACCACCACTACCTCCCTCCTGAAGACTCCAGCCAACTCCTGCAAACAACGAAGACTACCGTCTTCGCCCGAATAGAACGCCGGGTCATGATAGCTGTATTTGGGGCAACTTTCAGACCAGATGCATTGAAAATGACTGTACACTGTATTCGGGTGAAAGCGGTATAGCCCTGCTGACAACCGATCGCAAGTCTGACGGACCGGGGAAAAAAAAAAAAAAAAAAGTGGGCCTCCGCCGGCAATGTTTCTTTTTCTCTTTTGCTAATTTTAATCTTTTTAAGGCGCCAGATTTCTTTTTTTTTTTTTTCAAATCCTCGTTCAGGGCCAAAGCCACCGCTGGCAAATTTGGCAACCATGAACCGGAATTGCTGGAAGGCCTTTTAGCCTATTGGCACAGTTATTATTCCTGTCTTCCTTGCTGACTCAGGTAAGTTTGAGTAAATGCCTGGATATTGTGCTTGAGGTTTTACAGGTTAAGGGTCGCCGGTCGGCGAACTGGGGGAGTCGAGTTTAGACGCTCGCGATACATCAGATAGACAGAATAGCAGACACTTCGTGACTGTATGAGCTGGTTCTTTGGACAGCTCCCCTTTTCCTTACCTGAGCCTTTAAGTCTAAATTTGGGACCTTGGAGTTCTCCAGTTAACAGGTTTGGAAAGTCTTAATTCGCTACTTCTGGCTGAAGGGTATGTAGAGCTGTATTTTTAGTTCGGCCACCCTTTTCTGAGCTTCAAGGTTTATTTTTGAGGAGTTCCTTCAGTACTTTTGAGAGCAGACTGTTTTTTTTTTTTTTTTTTTTTTTTTTTTTTTAATAAAAAAAATTACGGAGCGAGGGACTTGTGAAAAATTTGCGTAAGCTGCTTAGTGTGCTCACCCCACGGTATTCTTTAGTAAAAGGTGAAAGAATAGTACGCCAATTGAGGTGGGCACGCAGACTGGTTTTGGGGATGCTGGACCCGGTTCCCAGCATGATTCATTGGTGACTTCCGGGTTGAATTGTGAGGGCCCCGGCCCCAAATTTTCTTTGAATATAAAGCTACAACTTCTCAAAAAAAAAAAAAAAAAAAAAAAAGGGTCCAAAA